AGGCAGTAAGTAATTTTGCTTTTGTGGATTTAAATGTGTCTCTTAAGTGAGTTAATTTGATTACATTTACTTAGTTTGAAAGGATTCTTAGGCAGTTCGTGTCCTGGCTCACTAGAGGCAGCTGACACAACCAGAAGGTACTGTTGGACTCTGTCTCTTCTAATTGACATTTATATGCTTAACTGGACCCAGTGCTTCAGTTCTGAACACGAACTTGCACTGCCATTGTTTGTAGCTTCCCTTCTACAATTGAGTTTTGATGGTTTGAAATAGCTGTAACATTTTGACTCTTTCTTTTGCTCTGTTTTCTTCTTTTTTTCATAGTTGTCATCATCTGTATTCACAGACAGTTTTACTATATTTTAAAAAAATTTTTTTTTTTGAGACAGAGTCTTGCTATGTAGCCCAGGCTAGCCTTGAACTTGCAGCAGTCCTGCCTCAGCCTCCTGAGTGCTGGGATTACAGGCATGCACCACCACACCTGGTGTATTGTATTCTCTTCACATTTACAGTGAACCATTTTGGCTAAGATCATTACTTGATAGTGAATGCTTTTACTTTCCTTCTCACTTGTTCCACATTCACCTTAGCCTAGCGAAGTCTAGAGGTAGCAAACTGCAGTAGTGTGTGTTATATCTGGCTGTTTTGGCAGTCTGAGCTAAAATGGCTTTTACGTTAAGAATTTATATATTTTATATATAAAAATATATACAGGATTAAATAAACCGGGCGTGGTGGCACACACTTGGAATCCCAGCACTCAGGAGGCTGAGGCAGGAGGATTGCTGTGAGTTAGAGGCCAGCCTTGGCTACATAGCAAGACCCTGTCTCCAAAAAAAAAAAAAAAAAACTATTAATTTTAAGTGTGATAAATAGTATTGTGATTGTGCTCTTTCTAATAAAACAAGAAGACCTTATGTTTTCCAGACTCCTAGTGAAATACTTCTACCTCAAATGATAGTATACCTCGATTTGTTTAAAATAGGAGAGGGCAGAAAATGGGTAGGATTATACATAGAAGATTGGCCATGGGCTGATAATTATTGAAGCTAAGTAGAAATGCATCATTCTATTTTGTTTACTTTGGCATATGTTTGAAATTTTCCATAATAGAACACTTAAAATACAAATAACAAACAAAAAACCCCTGCATTTGACTAAAAAGTTTAAAATATTTATTACCTGGCATTTTACAGAAAGTTTGCTGACCCCTGTGAGGACTCTCAGGAAATAAGTTTTCCATTTGTCCTGGTTAAGTGGGGAAGGTAGCAGAGTCGAGTTGTACCTGGGATGTCTTACCTGCCAATTCCTCCTGTAATTATGTGCTCCTGCAAAAAAACACATCTCAAGTGCCTCAGTACTGTCCTGACAAGTCAGATCTTTGCTGAGTATCTGTGTATTGTGCTGAGTTTGTACAGGAAGTATCCATTTTAAGATTGAAACGGGAGCCTATTACTGTGATTAGTCCCAGAGCTGCGTAACACTCAGGAGTTGTTACAGTGGCAGGAGGAGTATCACTACCTATATTTAAAGGATATTGGGATGTGTCAGAAAGATTGGACAGACAATATGGTAGTTTAAATTTTCGTTCCTTTCTTGACTTTTTTAAACAGGAGCTGAGCTGGTCTGGAACTCCTGGGCTAAAGGATCCTCCTCCCTCCTGAGTAGGTAGATACTGGATGCCTGGATCTTAGACTCCATATGAAACATCCTGATAATCTTAAACCCATATTAAGAGAGATCTGACAGACAGCTCATCCAACAAAAAATAAGCAATTTTTGGCTCTTCTTTTCCTACCGTTCTATTTTCTGTTTCCTGCTGTAGGTCCATTATTCCTTTAATATGTCTGCCTAGAGTGTTCCAGGCTGTCACCTGTAGCAAGTGGCCTTCTCCTGTCCACCTCAGTCTTCAAGAGCATACCCAGTTCTATCTTCTTACCTCTCAAGTGTTCTAAACAAAGGTGGGACAAAGTCTTACCTTGAGGCCAGAGCCTGCCTTCTGCTTCTAGTGCCTGCATGACCTCTCGTAAGTTGAAAATAGTAGCTACAATATACTCATGTATGTATAGAATCAGTCTAAAGCAGTCTGCTGCTTATTAGTTCCATGATTTAGAGGCTACTTAATGACAAGACTTACCTTTATTTAGCAGCACTGTTCCATGAATTTCTGTTTAAGGAACAAAAGTGAGAGATCACCATATAACACAGATTACAAAGCACAATGATAAATCAGAAGTACTGCATCGGAGGGCAGAACTGGTGATAGCTTTGTTTGGAAAGTGGTTATTGTTGATGAACTGAAGACATGCTCCAGTTCTAGTACATGTAAGGAGAGGGAGGGAGCTTGATTAACCTCAAGGATTACTTAGGAAATGCCATTTGTTTTGTCAAGAGAGAGAGTGAAAGAAGTTTGGTAGATTTGGGTAACGCCCAGCTGGGATAGAAGAATGTTTATTATGTTTCTCTGTACCCCATAGCTGCTGCCTGCAGTGTGTTTCTTTAATGATGAAGACTGATAATTCTTTGGCTTCTCAGCTTTTCATGGACTGTCATTTGTGACGTAAAAGTAAACCAAACCCTTCCTGAATGCTAGCATATTACTTTCTCTCTAACCCCCTCATGGGCTAAGGGTGTTCCCCTCTCAGACAAGTTCTAATAATTCTTACACTGTGGAAGCAAGTTCTCTACTTTGATGTGCCGTTGTATTTTCTTAGCTTACTTTCGTAAGTCTGCCCTTAATAAGTAGGCATTGCTTTTTTATTTTTATACTTTTCCAGATTCACAAAGGCATCTCTTAAGTTGGAGAACTCAGGAGCCTGAGTTTAAAAGGTGCCTCTACTAGGATGTGAGGTCTGGAACAAGAAGGAAATTACAGTAATTGGGATTGGGAAGTTAATATAATATAGGAACCATAGTTTGCTTGAGTGGGTTACTGTTTCAAAGGACTTGTTAAACTTTTAAAGCACTGTGGAGGGCTAGGGATTCAGCTCAGTGGTAGAGCTTTTACCTAGCATGCAGAAGACCCTGGGTTCAGTCCCCAGCACTTCCAAAAAATAAAGCAAACTCCAAAGAGCCTTAAGAAAGAGGCAGCTAAAACCCTCAAAGAAAAAGCAGTTCAGAGGAGGGGGTGGTGAGAATTTTAAAAAGCCGTTTGGCTCTTTTATACCATTAACTGTGTTTGTGTCTTAAATTCTACTTTTAATGTGTTGGCAGGACAAATAGAGGAGTTTGATGTGGCCTGCTTACCTCGCCTCTTGTGTTCGTTTTGTTTTCCTAGAAATAGATGCAGGAACTGATTCCTTTTCTTCCTCTCTGGAACAGAATGTAGAGAACCATTCTGTCTCCCTCTGTTTGGGACCTTTGTAGCCAGGCTTATTGTGCACTGAAATAGCTAGGCAGAATGTGAGATCATGGGAGCATTCAAAAGAGAGTTCCATCTCTGCAGAGCCCATCCCCTGGGTTCTTGGAGAAGGGCGGGGGCTACACCTTCAAGTTGGGAGACATGGACAGGCCCTCTCCGAATCCACCAGCTCCTGCTTTAAGAGCAACTGCAGTAGAGGGGAGCAGTCAGATCTATACAGTGGTGCCTCGGTTCACAAACTTAATTCATTCTGTGATTCTGGGGAAGAAGGCTGCAGTTGTGTTTGTCATCTGACATGGAGCTTGTAAACAAGCAAAATTTTGCTAAACCCTTCTGTTCGGGAACCAAATTATTTGCAAGCAGAAGCATTCATGAACTGAGGTATTCCTGTATTTCAAAGAGGTCTTATGTCTGCCAGTTGTCTGGGAAGGGGTATGAGAAGGTAGGATGTAAGAGTATCCTGTGGTGTCTCAGAAAATAGAGTTGGTTCTTGGCTATGTGGAGAAACCTGGTATATTTGAAGTTGAATTTGGGTTTGCAATTTCAAGTCACCTTCTGGCCTCAGGAATGTGGTGGTGTGATTTGGGAGGATTTAAGTTTCCTTTTTGAAGTCACTTTTTTTCTAAAAGGCTGGTCTGCTGCTAACTAAATTGCCAAGGACCTGACCCTTCCCCTCCCCACCTACACAAAGGGTGCATTGTTTATGGATGAGGTGTAGTCCAAATGAGACACCAAATCAGATTCAACTGCCAAGCCTTGCATAAGCCCTGATTAGAATGTAGTTTTTTGAAACAACTAGGCCAGTAGCCATAGCGGAATTCTTCAAAATGGGACAGATGTCCAGAGAATGGACCCGACCCCTCCCAGAAAGCCAGTCTGGGATTACAACCTCCAGTGGCCTACTTTAGACACTACTCTGGAAGATGACTTTGTATTTTTTGACATAAAATCCAAAAACTATGCTCAGTGGGTATCCGTTGTGAAACAGGTCTTGCCCACTGTTTGTTATCTAATGGTTGTTCGGCTTACTGAGGTGGCTCTATACATTTACATTCATGAAGGTCTCAGGAACTTACAGTACCCGTGGTTGAGATTGCCATGTGAAAAATGGTGGTGGGTTATCACACTTTATAGGTCTTGCACACGTGACAAAACTAGGTAAAGTGCCCTAACAGAGTGCTTACTGAAGTGTCTAAGGTTTTATGATAGGTTACAAAAGACTCAGTTGCTTTTGTTTTCCTTGAAATAGAATATGCATTTGGAGTTTGTCTTCTCTGTCTGCTGTCGGGGGAAGTAGAGTCTAGTAGTCATATGCACCTGTTTCAGATTGGATTATCTTTTTAGGGTTCATGGGGTGCTGGGGAGCAGTCTGGCCCACATCTGTTGTGGGGTCAGAGGGTTAAGAGCAGGGCCTGAAATGGGAGCTTATACCTAGCATGAGCCCAGCTTGCAGGAGTGGAGCAGGGCCCAAGCCCTCTTAGGGAAGATGATGAGGGGATCCTCAGTTCTGTAGGCTGGCGGTTTTAGGAATGTGTACCACAGTAGAGAATAAATGTAGTCTTGTGACTGCACAGAAGGGAATTTCAGAAAGGTTGAGTGCCATGCTATTACTAAAACAGTTTGTTCTTCAAGATCAGGCTTTGAAACAAACCCAATAAAAAGTATCTTTATTCTCATGTTAAAAAACTTTTTCTATGGTAATGCATTAACAATATAAAAATACTTTGCTACACTGATCCATTTTTCTAAGATTTGTTGCAACACTACACTAGAGTATGTGAACTTTGGATTCTGAGTAGGGACTACAGGCTTTTATTGAAGGAAGTATGTGAATACAGAGACAGCCCTTTTTCTTTGGCTTCAGGTTATGTACAGTGAGAAGGGGGGAAAATTTTTTTTAAAAATATTTGCTTTTCAAGGCTCAGGGTTGAAGCTTGGCTCAAAAATGGGTTAAAATAGGCTGTGGTGAAAACATCTGCCCACCACTAGAGGTTTCTGGACTCCTTGCATTAGTTGTAATGGTCCTTCCTGCAGCCCCATAGGAGAACACAAGCTGACCTGGTCTGGGTGGTGGAAGGTAGGCGCTGGCTGTTGGAAGGTTGAGATTTGCCCTCTCAGCTGCCCAAGAGCTGGCTGTGCCCACATAGGTAAGCTGGGAATGGTACCGTGAAAACAGTGCTCTGAAAGGGGAGGGATGCACACTAGAGTTGGGCTGTGACTTTTTCCAACTATTAAAACTAGGCTGCCTGTCTCTCAGTGCCTGGGGCCTTGGTATCACAGCTTCTTGAGTTGGGGAAGTTTCTCCGGAACATTTCCAAGTAATGTGAACTAGAGCCACCATCCACACTTGCCTGATAGGGTAGTGTCAGGTTGTTTTTGTTGCCTTGTTGATAGGCTGAAACTTACTCCTTTCCCTGTTCCTCTTGCAAACTCCTGAGAACATGCTAAGAGGCTTCTTCTAGTCCAGCTTATGGGTAGCAGCTGTTTTTTTGTAAAGAAGAGCTTCTCCAGTCCCTGGAGAACCACTGTCATTCTGAATTTGTGGTTGTTGCCATGCTCGCATGTTGTTTGATAAACAGGGTCTTTTTTTTTTTTTTTTTTCTTGGTACCAGGAATCAAACTGAAGACCTCATGCTTGTCAGGCAGGTGCTGCACTGCTGAGCTACCCAGCCCTACCAGGTCATTTTTGGTCCAGGAAGTGTCTGGTATGGGGAGGCTATGGCAGAGGAGGATAAGAAGGCACTGGTAGAGAAGGTGGCTGGGAGCAAGAGAGGCAGGAGCATCTGACCATCGAAGACAAACTGTCAAAAACAAAAAACAGATGAAGGGTGCCAGTCACCAGGATGCCCTTAATGAGATGCCATGCCATGCTGACAGTTGACCCCACCACTTGAGCAGCTGAAATTGCTGGCTTCAGGCTCAGGTAGTTCTGTCTCTTGGCTTGGACCCTGAGAGGGGATAACAGGCCCCTGGCTGGTTTCCACATGATTTGGGGCTCTGCTGCTCCCTCTCAGGGCTGGGGCTGAGCCCCTGCAGGAGCCCAGGTGTCTGTCCCGCGTGTGCTAGGCTGCCTGTGTCTGAGGTTCCTGTTGCTGTACTTGTGTGCTCTGTAGGGTGCTGCAGGAAGCCTGCGGGGATCCAAGGGCTGGGAGGCTGAGGGCAGCGGAGAGACCTGGGGATGCTGGTGCAGGATCCATGGGGCTAGCAAGCAGTTCTGTGGGGAAGTGGGGCAGCAGAAGGTATGAGAGCGAGTCCTGGGGACCTGGGGGGCTGGGGCAGCCTAGAGCACTGTCATCGGAAGGAACGGGGCTGGGGCAGCGGCCTTCTCCGGGTAAGTACCGAATGCATTTCTTTTTCCTCCTAGGAATAGTGAAGAGAGTTATCTGTAAACAGAGGGTGAATTCATAGTCATACACCACAACCAAAACATGCTGTCCTTGTACAGGCCTGGCTGACCTCTCTTCCCCCTTCCCCAGGACTTTGGAGGTATGCCTGTGCCTTCAGACTTGAGTCAGCCCTGCCAGTCTGCAGGGCCTGGCCCAGACCTACCGAAGGTGTGGTTCCTAGAATATCCACCAGGGGGCACAGAGACCTTTTGTAGCTGGGCCTGTGGGCATCTAGTGTGGATCCTTGAACTTTTGTTTCCTGTTTGTGAGCTCAGATCTGCAGTGCTAGCAAGACATATATTAATTAAACAAGGGGCTGCAATGCTTGTGACTTTGTGGATGAGCAATCCCAGTCACTAGAGCTGGACTAAGGGAAGAAGAAAGACAGTGTGACTCATCCATTACCACCCTGGAGTTCTCTGGATCACACTGGTCTTGAGAATAGCATGGAATGGACGGAATAGGACTTCCGAGAACATGGTTATTTCCCACTGCGTGCACACTGCACACATTACTCTGCCCCACTATCAATTCCTCCTTTGGAAGGGCTGGACACGTTTCTCTGAGCCGTGTTCTTACTCCCTGCAGTTCCTTCAGCCTTGGCCTTGCTAAGCCTGGTCTGAACCTAAATGAGGCAACTCTAACCACTTCGCAGGTAAATTTTTTCATTCCCACAAGTGCCTCACAGCCCTCTGGCTAAGGTAGCCTAGAGGTATCACTGCTTCTCTCTCCTACCCCTCCAGCTCTCTTAGTAGGTACGGTCAGTCACGTGACTGGTGGCACCCAGATACTTTTAACAGGTTCTCTGTGGTTCTCAGATTTAAGAGTCAGGGCGTTGTAGGCAGGGATTCCACCATGAAGTAGAGAACCTGGAGGGCCACGACTCAAGTCTGGAAGTAGGGCAGGCCACCTGACTAACATATGTGAGATATTTCTTCTGAGGACCTGCTAACAGCCTGGCTGGCACTTGAGGCCACCTGCATAAGCTTACACTTCTTCCACCTAGACCCAAGCGACTCTCCACAAGCTGTGTCCAGTTCACTCACATTCTCGGGGCACAGGTCCCCGTATCTCCTGGGCATGCTGGGGGCTGGGGGGGCGTGGCTGCAGGCCCAGCAGAACATGTGCAGTCAGGGAAGCAGCTTAAAGCAAAGGGAGAATGACGGTGGGGACAACCCACCTGCACGGACCACACCAATCCGTCTGCTGGTTGAGGCCAAAGCGAGCACGGCATTTCTTAGGTGAGCCAGGGTCTGCTTACAGCCATGCCAGAGAGGCAGAGCAGGGCAGAGGGCGAGTAGGCAGGCAGGCAGCAGGGCAGAGCAGGGCCCAGAAAGAAGAGGTAACATCAGCGTTAGCTAGTTACAGACACCCACAGCCCCCACAGGCAGAGTGACCTCTCTGGCACAGCCAGCCCCGGTGGGGTGCCCTTAAAGGGGGTAGGATGGGAAGATGAGGGGGCTGTCGTAGTGTGTGTGGGGCACGTGCTGGCGTGGAGGCTGCAGAAGAGCCTGGGTAGGCTCGCAGCAAGCAGCCCTTTCTGCTCTGGGACTACCACCCCAACTGCCTGCCTATTTTATCGTTTTTCTTCATTCTTGCCAGTGTCCAATCTTTCTGACCACCTTCCTTCAAGGCGTAACAAGGCCACAGCTTAAGCCACACACTTCCACTTGGAAAGAAGGAACCGCTCTTCCCCTCAGAGGGAGGGCGCTTGGGATTGGGCCTGTGCCCTGCTGTGTCCCAGCTCTTAGCTTTGCTGTGTAGGGCTAGCACAGCTAAGGAAGTCAGGGGTGTGTAGTCCGAATGTGCTTGCAAGAGGACCTACAGCAGCACATGGGCTCAGGGGCTCCCTCCCCAAGCCCTCCACACAAAGCGCTTTGGATTGCTCTGAAACGGGCAGGGGTGGGGCAGCAGTGATGGGGCACTTGCCAGGCAGAACTGGCCAGCATGCACTGTTGCAGTCCTGCGTGGAGCAACAGTCATTTTCCAACTGCTCTGCAGAGGCCAGCTTCGGACAGGGCTGGCAGAGGTGGCAGGGGCACACCACCTGCCAGCTGAGTCCACTCCTGCTGGTCTTCCATGGACTCAGTGCCGCTGTGCCTCATGCGCCCAGGCATTGGACTTCTGAGGTGCAGGCCTCCTTTGCAGAGGGCCCAGGGTGGGCTGGGCTTGAAACGCGTGTGGAGCGCAGCCTCCACTCCTATTGAGGCAAGGCCTCACCTGAGGTGGACTCCTGATGCTTTTCCCTCGAACGCCTCTTCTTCTTCCCCTGTAGGGCGCGAGAGGAGGGATATTTAGATCTGGGAGGCACCTAGCCTGCTGCCCCGCCTGACTGCTTGCAGGGTTTGGGCCATAGAGGCCTCTCCCACTTGAAGGCCCTGGTGTTTCTTGATTACAGTTCCTGCTAAGCTACTGCGTGGGGGGCTCCTCCCTCTCCCAGTCTGGTCTCCTAAATTGATCGACATTTCTAGGTCCCTTCCTCCCCATATGCCCCAGAGAAGTACTAGCGATCGCCCTGTGTAAATGGACTGGAGTGTGGAAAACAGGATGTGGGCTTCCTTTTTAAGGGCATTTCCCCGGCTTGCCACGGGAGGCCTTGGACCCTCTACGCACACCCGGCCTCACCTGTCACGCCAGGACAGCATTTCTGTTTCCCTGCCCGGAGTATGGCCTGAGTCCATATGGTGTCTGCAAGGTTCCCCGCACCACCCCTGCTGTGTGTCTGCCCACTCACGTAGTTGTCCCGTGCCGACCAGCCTGGGTAGAGCTGCATGTGCAGCTGCCTCTCCTTGCGGGCTAGCTCGTAATACTTGGCCTGCTCTTCCCGAGACAGCGCGTGCCACTGTAACGGGAGAGGCGCAGAGAAGGCACATCAGGGGAGCCGTTAGGGTGAAGAGGATCAGAGGCCACCCCTGCCAGCCCACCAGCCTGTGGCCTTACCCTGCGACCTAGGATCTGGTTGATGGCAGCGCTCTCCTTAAGTGTGCACTCTGCAATGACCTTGGCTCGCATCTCCTTCATGTACAGCATGAACGCGTTGAGGGGCTTCTTGATAGTCGGCTTCTTAGCCTCCTTCTCTGCCTTGGAGTCTGCCTGTGTCTTCCTGAGGGGCAAACTCCAGCTGCTTGGAAGCATCCTTCCCTAATGCCTCCGCCCTCCACCACTGTGGCTACGTATGTGCACAGTACCGGGTTTGTGAGTGGAAACTGCCCCAAATGAGTGAGCAGAAAGCTAAGTGACCGTTCTAGGAATGCTACAGCCAAGTGGCAAATCATACAGGTAAGGATTCCTCAGCCCTTCCCATCTCAGCTCCATCTTGTTGCTCACACACCCCTCCTGCTTCCAAGGATTAAAACACAGTAGTCAGAGCCAAAGGACAGCCTCGGGGGCCCTCCTGGTGGTCCTTGGAGCCACCGAGCAGTGGGTCCTGGGCCCGGGGGAGGCATGTATCCCCTGGCTGACGAACATCTGCTTCCCTGCCCTCCCCACCCCTTCTTGCCCGTTACACTCACAGGCTGCGGTCGTAGGGCTGCAGATCCTGCTTTCCTGAGGAAGGCACAATGGCCGGGTGGGGCATGGCTGCCGGGTGCCCAGGTACACCCGAGCCCAGCACCAAGGACGGGTGCGTGAACCTGGAGGTGTGAGGAAAGTTAACACTGAGCCAGAAACTGTAGGCCAGGGCTCTGGACACACACGGAGGTCCTGCACAGCGCGTAAGGACACAGGCGAGCGCACACCACCCCCGGGGACTGGCATACCAGTGCCCAGAGACACACGGTACAGAAAGACTGCTCCTGCTCTGCTGCACTCTTCCTACTGCCGCAGAACGAAGCTTAGGCTCTCCTTGGGGCTGGCTGGACACTGGCTCAGCATCCCTACCCACATTTCTAGCCTCATCCCTCCCCTCCCCTCTTGCCACTCCCACCCCTGGCCAGCCCCAACTCCTGTGTCCTGCTCCCCCTCTCAGGAAGTTGCCCTTCCCACAAGGCATTTTGTTCTGACTTTGCAGGCCTGGCTGGGGTGTCCTTGGGGCTTCCTCATTACCCATTTGGCCCAGTTAGCTGCTGGTGCTGTGTGTACACCTCCTACCCTGGGCTGTGACCTCCAGGAGGGCCAGAAATGCCTGTGAAAGTCCTTGCTGTCCCTAGGGGAATGAGCTAAGAGACATACACTCTCATCTCCCAGCTATCTTGCTGCATGGAGACCCCTCTGCCCTCTGCTGCTTGCACAGATATGGGATCCCCGAGCAGACAGCCCCTGAGGGGCAGAGGCTGGGAACGCTTACGTAAAAGGTGCTATACAGCTGGGGCAGAGCTCAGGGACAGGCCGGCAGGGTGCAGGACAGGTGTGCACACGGGCTGAGCTGTGTGCGCACTGCTGTCTTGGCTGCTCTGTGCTGCTGTTGCCTGGGCTGAGGTCTCATACCTCCTAGCTTCGTTCTCAGGCAGAGGGCAGCAGGATGACAGACGGACAGACAGACAAAGGACTAACACAGGGTAAGCACTAGCCTGAGCATGGCCTTGTGTGGGCACTGAAGCCTGGGCAACAGGAAGCAGAGCCTGGCTGCGGGGTAGGGGACTCACCTGGGGTAGGGGGCGCCAGGGGCTGCGGTGGGGGCGGGGAAGTGCTGTCTATATCCGCAGGAAGGGGACAGGGGGTAGAGAGGAGGGCTGGGCCTGTGGTTGGGAGAGACAGCTGTTAGCAGTCTGGCTGCCAGCCAGACTGGGGGACTTCTACACCTTGCTTGGCCTGACCCTTGACTTGGAGACAGACAGCCCTCTGCGGGGATCATGCCCGTGTTTCAAGCACCTGCCACCAGGGGGCAGCTTGTGCTGCTGTTTCCCCTGAAAGGGTGGAAATGGCAGCCTTCTCCTGGGTCCCAACTAAGTCACCTAGGTTTCCTTTACGATATAGGGCTGATACTTATCCTCGGGCCTTCACACCCCTAATTCACCTGTTCCAACTTGTCCTTATCCTTTAGGTCTTGCTTAGCTAAGTGACACTTTTTCCCAAAAGCCCACAGATTCCCAGCTGGATGAGTGCCCCGAAGCAATGCTAACAGTGCCTATAACTGCCTGACTTCTTGCCTGGGCGGCTCACTAGGCCAACTGAGGGCAGAGACCTACAAGTGGGCTTTAGCAGTGTTTGTGCTCAGAATCCTGTCTGGCACACAGCGGGGCTCAGTGCAGAAAAGGCTGAAGTACCCCACCTTTCCTCCTGGCAGCCCAGGGCCCCTGTGGGACCTGAGAACACAGGGCCCTCTCCCTGCGCTGCCGGACTCTCGTTAGAGCCTTGGTGGGTAAACACTCCCTCTAGGCGCAAGTGCGTTGGCCACTGCAGCGTCTGACCTGTAGGACTCTAAAGAGGCTTGTCCCGAGATGTGCCTCTATGGAACTGTGGCCTGGCCCCATCAGGCTGGGCTCTCAACACTCCTGCCTCACCTCAGTCTTAGGAGAACTGATTTGTATTTAGAATGGAGCTTTGTTCAGAGGATCTGGAAACAAAGAGAGGCTGGACATGGGTAAAGCAGAAGTGCGAAGAGGCTGGTAGGCCCCTGGCTGGGCCTCTGAACTTCCCTATCTTCCTGGGAAGCCAGATCTGCTGCTGCTGGGGGACTGCTTCAGTCCGGAGAGGCTGAAGACCTGCTACTCACACTGTGGTTGGTGAATAAAAGGCCAGCTGGCCTGCTGAGGGCTAATACCAGCTGAGGGTAGACCCTTTGGCCCACAGTCAGGCCTGCTGACCTGGGATTCAGTGTGCTTTCTCCTGGCCGTGCCTTAGGAGACCCAGCAAGCAGGCAGGCACCAAAGGGACTCTGCTCCTTAAGTGGCTACCGAAGAAGGGATCAGCACCACTGAGGCCAGGGCAGCATCCCCTGCCCACCAGGACGCTGAGAGGCAGCACGTTCTCTGGCCTGCCTTTTCTTCCTCAGACTCATGGCTCTGGTGGACCGGAACAGCCCAGAGTTCTCCCATGAGGGAGAGTTTGGGTGCTACAGAGCTGGGGCCAACAGCAGCTTCCCTGCCTCCCTGGAGGAAGTATGTCAAGCTACTTGCACCATGCCCACGGTCCAGGGAGCCAAAAGAACCCCTAGTTCAGAGCCAGTTTGGGACAGCTGCTGGCCACCCCGTATGAGGCGTTCAGAACTGGCTTCAGGGGCCACAGCACAGAAAGGTGAAAGAAACGAGGAAGGGTAGGTGGGGCTCCACCCAGCACGTTCCCACTGGGACCACACTCACCAGCTCACAGTATGGGGAAGCTGTCCCATGCCGCCTGAGGTCAGAGAGTAGAAGCCAGAGAGCTCAGGAGTCTGCAGAGGCCTGTGAACTCCTGCGGTGGAAAGGGGCCAGGTAAGTTGGCACCCCTGCCTTGCGGGGGGGGTGGGGGGTGGGGTGTGTGTGTGTGTGTGTGTGTGTGTGCGCGCGCGTATGTGTGAGACTCCAGCAGTTACTGTCCTAGACCCTTCTATAGGGAACTCTTTAAGATTTTTCCTGCCTTTGCCAGAGCAGGGCCATCCTGGAGTAGTGACAGCGACCATCTGACAGGCAAGGGAACGAGGGAGAGGGACTGCGTGGGCTGTGTGAGGACACGGGCTGCCTGGTAGTCAGGGCTGGAGTCACTTGGAGGGGAAGCCAGGCCTCACATTCTCTGCTTCACTGCTATTCTGCAACTGGGGTCTCTGCGGGGGTCTGGTTTAGCTTTGAGGCAGGAAACAGGGCCCCTGGATGAGAGGGACCTGGCCTGGAGAGCCAGCGCGCTGCCTGCCCCCCTGGGTTGAATCAGCAGGTTTCCCACAGCTGACAGTGGTGGATTTCAGAATGACTTTAGCTGAGGCTGAGGTGAATCAGCCATCACAACCACCACTTTCCATTTTCTCACGGGGGAGGGAAGAGCTACCAGTGGTACAGTTAGCACTGCAAGGAGGCTGCTGTCTGACTGGCCGCGGGTCACCTCCATGTGCAGCCTTCACGTGGCGACCCGCACCCCCTCCCCCAGCTCCTGGTGTCCCTAGCCAGTCTTCCGGGCATTTTCCGTGGGCCTCGGGTCTGCCAGCCCCAGTGCTGTTGCAGAAAGGGTCCAGTGACCTGATGGCAGGCCAGAGCACTGGCTTTCCGCCTCTGGTCTGCTTGGGCCCCGCCCTGCCCCCAGCCCATACCTTGCTTCTGGCTGATGTCCGCAGGGGCCTGTGTGGGGTGTGGGCTGCTGAAATGTTCGTAGAGAGGAGAGAGTTGGGGGACGCTGTGGGGGGGTTGGCTGGCCTTGTGCTGAAAACGAGAGGAGGTGGGTGAACACGGGGAGTCCAAGGGAAGGGGGCATGGGGTGAAGGGGCGTGCGCAGGCAGAGCTGCTGGGTGGTGGCACCGCCCCACCCGCCCTGTGCCCTTGGCACCATCTTCCTGTCCACTGGTGCTCTGCCCAAGCAGTCCTGCCTCCTGAGAGCCTTGTGGTCGTCCTGGGCACTCAGGAAGGCACGACCCTCTTATCTAGCTAAGCTGTCTTGGCCTCCTGGTACCAGGGATCCCCAGTTTCCCAATACTGTACGTGCAGGGCTGCTCAGGGCTACCAGCCTCAGACCGCAGGGTCTGCACTCTTTCCTCTTCCGCCCCAAGGCCGGGCTTCTTGAATCGGATCCTGTCCCACCGCACCCCTAGCTGGGTGGCCAGCGAGCCCAGCCCCTGCTCTTCCGGTGTCCTCAGCACCGAGGACTCTCACTTTCATACCCGTCACCTGGCCCTGTCATGAGATGACTCAGTCAGCAGGCTGGGAAGAGGGGCCCCCACACCACCCAGCCGTGGGGAGGCGCTGCCAGGCCTCCGCGCAGCCGTGTTCTCCATGCACACCTGTGGCTCTATAGTCACCGTGGACAGCCAGCAGTGTGCTGCCGGCCGAGCGCACGGGATGACCCCGGACCCACGTCCCAGCAGAGACAGGGACATCCTGGGTCAGACAGCAATGGGAGGCTGTGGCCTGGGCCTTCGGTGAAACTGCCCACTGGGCGAACTTAGCCAGATTCCTCAAGACTGCAGGGCAACGAACGGGGCTGAGCACAGGTCCTCCCGCACTTGTCTCGGGGAGTTCAGGGTGAGGACACAGGGACAGCCTGCTAGGAGTGCCCCTCCTGGCTGTGGGGTCACCTCGGCCTTTCAGCCTAGGCATGATGCCCCCACGGGGGCACAGGGCCTTCCTCACCTCTCACCAGGGGCCCTGGACTGACCCCCTTCCCTGCGTTCCCACCTCCAGGCTGTAACGTACGCCCTTCCCCCAGCCTTCTGCGTCCTAGCAGACAGGAGTGGACGTGCCCCTAAGTGGCCAGCAAGGGAGACGTGGGCGTGGCAGCTGTGGGTGTGTGGACCCGTGACATCCGCATGCGGGCACTGTGCCAAGCACGTCAGAAGCCGGTCCGTACCCTACACCAGCTGCCACCTCATGCTTTGCTTCCCTTTACAGAAACCTCGGTTCTCAGCACGCATCTCCCTCGACCCAGCCAGGCAGCCCTTCCTGTCCCTAGGTTGTGGGGAAAGCCTGGAAAGCCCTGAGGCCTTTTTGTCCCGCCAGGTCCCCAGAACAGTGCTGTCTGTGGCTGTGAGGCCCACCCGGCAGCCAGCACTCCACCCACAACTGCCTTGGGGCGCACATGCCTCCATCCCCTCAAAAGCGGGGGCTTCCGGGTCCCCACTGCCGCTTCAGAACCAGCTCGGTCTAGTCTCGGCCCTTTTGAGTCTTGGGACCAAGGAGGCTGCACAGCTCCGAGGGAAAGCTGGGACTGGGGCCAAGGTGCTGGCTTAGGAAGACATCCCAGGGTCTCCACTCTGCCAGAGCGGCTTCCAAGGCAGCGTGGCTCGGAAGGTGGTCTCAAGGCCACCCTACCCTCGCGCACACTCCTGGCTGCAGGGTGCCAAGCGGCGCTCCCCGCTGTGCTGAGCCTGGCTCAGGTGCAGCTTTGCTACCTAAGCCCCGGGTCGCAGCACCACCAGGCCCGCTGCGTGGGGCGAGGGGCTCCTCCTGTTGGCCTGCCTTCCTCTCCAAGGAGCTGGGGGCGAGTCTCATCCAACAGTGCGGCGCAACCACAGAAGTGTCAGGCGGGGAGGCGAGGGGCTGAGAACCTGCTGGCGCCCGGAGGCCCTAGGGTGGCCAGGGCTCCCCACGTGCATGCAGGCCACCTCTTGCTTGCTCCGGGCCGCTCTGTGCTGGCGTGGTAGCCAAGGGAACTGCCTGGCACGGCCCCCCCCCCAGCCCGCGGAACGTCCCGCTCCAGGGCTCCAGCACAGGGCCGTCTGGGGCCAGGCTTCCCAGACGACAGGGTGGGGTCCCCTGAGGCCTTGCTTGTGTACCGGGGGCCTAGTGACTGCCGCTCCCCGCCCCCATCTGAGGTGCAGTGCCCAGCCCCCAAGGGCAGGAGGCAGCATGGGCTGGCTGTCACTGTCGCCCGCACCCAGCCCAGAGCACCCACAGAACCTCACCTTCTTCAGAGGCCGGCGCCTAACAGCCACGCTGCAGTGGTGCTTAGGGCACGGTGGACGTGTGAGCACACGGAGACTCAAGGCTGGCCACATCCCCTCACTGGGACCCCCGGCCACCCCGGTGGCACTTCAGGACGGCCCTCTTCTGTCCCCACCAGCACCTGTCCAGCCCAGGGACGGTGCTTGCTCCCGGTGGGGGGCCCTTTCGTTACTGCATTTTCTTACTGCTGGAGGGCTCACCCTCCACCAACTCAGGCTCCCCAGCCACAGGTGCTGCCTTCTGCCCACACAGCTTCGTTGGCGGGGGCTGGAAGCGCCTCGCTCTGGAGCCCAGCGTGCCTTCCTGCTTTCCAGGCGGGGCTGGGGCAGGGCAGCAGGAGGTGGTGGCGAGGGACTCTGGAGGTCGGGCTCCTTGGCCCAGAAGTCACGCTCCGGCCCGCCCGGCTGCCGCTGCCCCCCTCCGCGCCCCCACTTCCTGCAGGCTCAGGTGAAAAATAAACACAGTCGGCATTTTCCCTGCAGACCGCAGTGGTCTGCTGCTCTCAGGCTGTGTGCACGCTGAGGCCCTGCACCGCTGGCGGAGAAACTCCCTCGCCTCTGACGGTTGGCTCCGAAAACCCCCATGGGGTCAAGCCCCACATCACTTTCCCAGTGAAGAAAGTTGCCATTTCCTCTGGGCTGACACCCGAGGGGTGAGGAGCTTTCAGGGCTCAACCTGGCCCTGCCCAGAAGCTCCCAGTGGCAGGGACAGGGATGGTGGCAGGAGGGCAGCCCGGCAGCCGAGGACCTGGCCAGAGTGAGACTGAGTGCCTAAGGTCTGAGGTCGAGGACAGCGCCTCTAGGGGCAGCTTGGTGTTTCCCACATGCCAGGCCCTGCTGGTCCAAGCACTGGAGAGATCCTCCCAGATCCTCCTTGCAGCACCTCTGATGGATGCAGGTAAAGCTGCCTCCCTGCTGACAGAGAAGAAAGCTAAAGCATGAGGTCACATGCCTAGTAAGTGGCCGAGCTGAGATGCCACTGCTCCACTACAAAGGCCCTGTGGTCACTGCAGAAAAGGGTCCTGTCTCCTCTCCTGCAGCCTGGCTGCTCAGGGCTTCCCTGAGCCTAGCAACCTTGCTTCTGCAAGGTTCTGGGAACCTCAGGACAGGGACTCTGACATCCCTGGCGACGACAGCTGCACACGGTCCCCAAGGCCCCACCCAGCCACCCCTGCCCAGCCACACAGGCCTGGTCCTCTCTGCCCGTGCACCCAACTCTCCTCTGCATCCGCACCTCTACCCACTCTTTCCTCCCTCTCGCCGCCCCAGCTTTCCACGTTCCCTCCTGGCCCTCATGCTCCTTGTCTGACCAGGGCCACCTCCTGGGGAGATCTGTGCCTGGGTTGGGGTGGCACCAGCCTGGAGGCAGAGGTCTCCCGGTCACTTGTTAGTTGTCCCCAGGTCTCAGCAGACATTCCCCTCAGAGCCCTTGCGCCCTGAGGCCCCTGCTGTTCTGCCTTAGGCGAAAGGTGGGTTCTGATGCCTGCTCCACAGTGGGGGAGCGGGCCAGGAAAGAGCCACAGAGCCATACCGCGGGCCTCCTGCTCCTTGCGGGGCAGATGCTGCCTGGACAGACGGGGGCCACCGCCATGGGTACTGTTCTGTTCCCAGGTGCACAGCAGTGAAGTTGAGCCACATAGAAGCCGTATGCGACACAACCCACCCAAGGAGGGCACTCGATCCTTCCTGCCTCACACACGTGGGAAGTGAGGCTGCGGAGGTGAGAACCCCACCTGTATCTCTCGGCCCCTGCGTGACCTCCTGGGGCCCTCAGGAAGCCCCCTCCCTCATCTCTGCCCTCCTCCTGCTCTGTGCTGCAGCCAGAGTGGACGACTAGCTCCTCAGGTGATGCTGTGCCCTCTGCCTGGACCCATCTTCCCCCACTTGGAGCGGCCAATTCCCTTATTCCCATCCATGCTTCAGCCCTGGGTAAATGCGACTTCCTCCTGACCGGAGGCCTTTCCCACCCTTGCATCCCGGAAGGGTCCGCCTGCTCTGCTCCCGCCGCAGCACGGAGCCCACCATACTGTCACAGCCTACATCTCTGTCTGCCCCGTGCCCTCCCTGGAGGCTGACACTGTGCCCTAAGCGGTTTTCACTGAAGGAGTTAGACGGGGCCACTGAGGTCACAGCTCTAACAGTGCGTGAGCGGCGCGGGGCCCAGTGGGAACCAGCGTTTAGGGAGGATGTGGCAGCAGTGGGTGAAGTGCTCTGGTGGGGCTGGCACAGGGCCTGGCAGCACATGTGTGGAGGCTGGGACCCCTGAAGGGACATCCCGTCTGACACCCGAGACCCATGGCCACCTCCTATGCCCGGCCCTCCTGCCTATGATACAGCGGCAGTGAGATCGACCAGCCAAAACCAGTGCTACCACTGGTTCATACAGTTCCTGTATGCTTAGGCCTGTTCCGGGCCACCTGGCTTGAGATGCCCTGTGCAGGCCAGTTCACCCTCAGCCTGCCTCCCTGAACACGCAAGGGTGGCCCACCCAAAGGACCGGTCTAGATCTCGCTTCTCTTCCCTGCACTAGCAGGAGCCAAGTTCTAGGGCCTGGTCTCCTAGTGCCAGGACCCGCTGGGGAGTCCCACAGCAGCTCAGGCCCGTGCCTACAGCGGGGGAGTGGGGAGTCCCTGAGCAGCAGTGATGCTTCAGTGCCCAGGACCTCCTCAGCGGGATGCTCCCCAAGGCCTGGGATGGTACGGATGAGCTTCGCAGAGGAGCAGGCTCCCTACACCTTCCAAAGGGACCTGTCGGGTGGGCCTGGAT